GAAAGGAGAAGAAGGAAGGAGAGAAAGAAGGAGAAAGAAGGAGAAAGAAGGAGAAAGGAGAAAGAAGGAGAAGAAGAAGGAAAAGCAGAAAACAGAGGAGAAAGACTTACTCATAGTGTTGTACAGCTCTGGGCTGCAACCCATGGGCCAGCCAAAGACTTGTATCAGTTAAAAAAAACAAATAAGAGGTGATACAGGGAGAGTGAATGTTCACAGTGAATGGCAGTGTCACACCATGGTCGGTACTGCTGTCCCTTAAAGGGTGCCACTCCCTCCCTCCTCACTGCAGTGCCCAGTGGGGCTGTTATCACATCACAGAGGCAGACTCGTGTTCTGCTGCAGCAGCTTTGAAGCAAAACAGATTGCGATCTCAAGCAACTCTCAGAGCTGTAACCCTTTGGAAGGACATCAGCAAGATCTCAGTGAGCAAATGTGCTTCTCATGTTTTCTGATGGGATTTGTAACAGCTTCCTGTAAAGGCACTCTCATTTTGCCTGAATATGGTGTTCCCTTATACAGCCTTACAGGTTGCTGGGGGATCCAGCAGGTTCCTGTTATAAGCAGCCCAATCACAAAGGGACTGCACAGGATGCAAAGTTAGGTGTTGACACACTTTGGTTCTCCAAGGGTGACAAAAGGATGGAAAATGCCTTCAGCTCTCCCTGCATTAGTATAAAAGTGCTTTTTTAAATTCCATTTTCCAGTAGATTTCTCTTTTCCTACTGATTCAGGGTTGGAAGAGGCAGAAAAAATGTCTACCACCATGCACTTGCTAAAGGATTTGCCCTAAAGAGGCTGCAGGCATCAACCTGGAGAGGATTTTACATGATGGAATGGAGTCAGGTTCGGGATGGTAAATAAAGACCACACAAGAGCCCTTCCAGCTCATTTTGTACAGCACGGATTTATAGTTAGCAATGCAGTTCATTTTATTAGTTATAAATAAAGTACAAAAAATCCACCAAAAGTGAATCTAAGCATTTACACAATTTCTAATGTCTTTTCATTTCTTCAATGCACTATTGCTTTAATATTAATAATAAATATTTTTCTAGCTTTCTTCTATAAAATAGTCTATGTAGCAAAATGTTGCACAGCACAACAGAACAGCAGTAGGAGTACAAAAATGTGGGTGATCCTTTCACTGGCTCGGGCCATTAAAGGAGAGGATTTTTGTTTGCTCGCCCCGTGCTTTATGCGTCCCTTTCTCGGTGTCTTTGCGGGGTTGACAACCAACCCCCATCCCCACACCGCCCAAAACCATGGCTCCAGGCTCCAAGGGAGGAGCAGCAAAGGGAAAACGTGAATCTGAAACTTAGGGTAAGGCAAAGGCAAAGGCAACAAAGCAGAGCAGCACCCTGAAGGGAAAAGAGGAGTCATGAAGGTACAGTTACGTTGTGCTTTCCAGCCCCAAAAGAGAATTGCATCCAAAGCCTTTTGGGGTGGAGATGCATCAAACTCCGTTTCAGCGTGGCTGAGCATCTGCGTGGACCCAGAGCAGTTATGGCTTAAAGCTTAAAGTAGTGTCAAGGGTGCTTTAACCTTCCTGCGTGGCGCAAGCACTGGGTATCTGGGCACCTCTGGAGAAGGGGCAGCATGTTAGCAGTGTTGTGGTCATGGATGCAGATGGGGATGTGGACACTTGGACACCTGCACTGGGGATGGAGATATGGACCAATAGAGGAATGGGACATCAGCTGGCAGCTGGTCCCCCTTCGGGTGACCCAACGAGGTCACAGGAGGGTTGTAGCCCCAGCTCCGCAGTGGATTAACAAGCCTCAAGTTGAGGTTTTTCTGCCCTGACTGAGGGAGCAAAACTGATTGAAAGGCTTTCAAGGTCATTTTGGGGGGCTTCTGCTCCAGGTGTGTTTTACAGCTGGATTATAGCCAGTGTTTGTGGCCCGGTGTTACAAATGGATCCCAGATCATCCCCAGAACCATCCCATCCCTCTCTACCTCATCCTTCTAGCCATATCTGAAGCAGTGAAGGAGCTGAAGTCCCACCATCCCGATGGCACTGCACCATGAGGAGCAGGACCTCCACGTCAAAAAAGATGGGAGGCTCGGCTTCTATAAACTGCAGAAAAACCCTTGGATTTGTAGTCTGTGAGCTCATCAATTCCCTCCTGCATCCTCCCCTGGAGCACCCAGCTGGGTGCTCATGGAGACGGTTTGACAGGGTGCACATAGCCAGAACAAGCACTGAAAATTAAACAGAACTGCAGCACTGGGGCTCCCTACCTCATTGTATGAAGCAATCTGCAGAGTCATGCACTGAAGGCATGCATTGCCCCTAGCACAGCCTTGCATTCATTATTGCAGGAAGCATGCAGCAAGAGCGGGAGCATCACCAGTGGCACTGGGACAGGGCAGGAACCGACTGAAACATTTTGGTTTTGGAGAACGCCATTAATCCCCTTCAATGCACAAGGGATGAGTGAAAGGATCACCAGAGTTTGATTATGAGTGCAAATAATATTCATATATATGTGCTAAACACAGTCACTATATTGCAGTTTTCCACTATGTCACAGCATACAGAATCAAAGGTTTGCATTTTTATGGAATGTATCCAAGGTAACAGCACCACAGTAATACAGTTTGTAATCACACACCCTGATTTTTTTTCTTTTTTTCTTTTGTTTTCGACAAGATAAGCATTATCCCCGACATCCCATGTTGAATTTCTTTTTAAAGTACCGACGCATGCAAAGCATTCCATTCCCAGAAACAATGCAAAAATGAGGTAATAGGAGTAATAAAAAAAATTAGTATTAATTTCTAAATAAATAAATTATAATTAAAAATGCAAAAAAAACCAACTATAAAAATAATTAAATAAGAACCCACAATATCTACAAGTTAGTCATAAATTATGATTGTTAAATATAAGGCATTTAAACTCACAAAACCCTGTAAACTATCAATGTTTTTGTTCCTGGAGTGTGTGTTTCTATTCCAGCTCCTCCTACTGTTGTGTACACACGATTCCAACCCACACAGGAACCTGCAGGTCCTCACGCACCGCGGGATCAGTCACTCACACCGGACCATGGGAGTTTTGGTGCTTTTTCTTCACCAATTTTTTTTTTTTTGTCTTTTTCTTTGTTTGTTTGTTTGTTTTTCCTTGTGTGTGTGTGTGTTTTTCTTTTTTTTTTTTTTTTTACTTTTTCTGGTTTTTCATCTAAAAACTGTGCTTGTTCATTAGGCAAATAGTAATACTTTCGCGTAGGCTTTAAGAAAACACGCGGTTTGGAAGCGGTCCTCCTTTCCTCCCTGCCCAGCCAGAGGCCCTATGGCCCTGCTCCTCCCCTGCTTTGCCCCCAGCTCACACCTAGGTGCACCAGGACAGCTTTCAGTGTCTCTCAGGAACGACGACTTGCTTTTCCTGTCCGTATTATTAGTGTTACTTTTAATGCTGCTCCAATCTGCTGCTGCTGGAGCAAGCCCCATGTGTATCATTGAACCATGGAGCGGGTTGAGTTGAAGGGACCCTTCAAAGCCACCTGGTCCTGCAATGAACGGGGGCACCCACAAGTCCATCAGGTGCTTGAGCCCTGTCCAGTCTGACCTTGGGTGTCTCCGTGGTACATCTCTCTGGATGCACCCATGGGTCATTCCTTGCCCCAAGGAGCCCATATCCCTCCTCACACTGGGGCCCCATCCTCATGCCAGGGTGGCAAATATATGTCCCTATGGCAAATATATGTCACCATGACCCTTTGCTTCCTCCCTTTGCTTCCTCCTTCCTACAGGCACAGAAAGAGGGGGAAGAAAGGCTTTTTGATCCCCATGTCACCTCCTTCACTTCTGTTTATGTTGTAAAAACTAGAATAGAAAACATTGGAGGAGGGCACTTCCCACTTATAGCTCACAGGAATTCCACCGTCTCCCAGATGGCAATTTAGGGTCATTTCTATGTGAGGAGCATCACTTGGCTCAGAGGAGCCAGTGCTCAGCTCTGCACATCTTGTTTTTGAATATATGAAGTTTCCAATTCATCCCAGTTGCTCCTCAATGTACTTTTTCTGCTATCCCAGTGTGGAAAAAAAATTAAGTATTTTCTTTAAAAAAAAAAAAAAAGGGTAGTGAGTGCTGGTTCTCCGGAGGTCTGTCCTCTGGGTGTTTGTGGCTGATGTATTTGCTTTGAGGGATGGAAATGTCCTGTTCCTCTGAGGAATGCCTCCAATTTTATGCATTATTTTAATGAACACTGATAAATTAGATTCCATTTTAATAACCATCTCATTCTCCATACGAAAACGGAGTGAAATGTCTAACAATGCTCCAACGCAGGGCTAAACCAAGCCCTCCAGAAAGCAGCAAACCCTCTAGATCCAGCATTCCCCTACTGCGCCCAAACAACCAGTGCATGGGCAATTCCTCACGAGCAACGAGTTTCCTCCCATCCCATTATCAGAGCTGCTCGGGGAGATTCAGCCCTGCAGACTAAGAGCTTGAGCTGATTAAGGGGAAAAAAAATGAAAAGAAAGCAAAGAAGGCTTCCACCTGTGCTGTACATCTGCTTATCCTCCCTACACTGTGTTTTCTCAACAGGAAGGTGAAGCACGGCGTCTGCATGCAATACAGTGGTCCCCCACTCCCTTTCTCCCATCTCCCAAGGGTTGGGATAGGGGGATGGAAGTGGGGCAGTTTGTCTGCTGCTCTGCCCTGCCCAGTCACAGAGTGAGCAGTCTCTCCAAAGTCGTAGAATCACAGAATGAATCATAGAATCATAAAACTGTAGAATGCCTTGGGTTGAAAGGGACCTCAAGGATCACCAAGTTCCAACCCCTCTGCCACAGGTTATCAGCCGCTAGATCAAATGCCAGATCAGATTGCCCAGGGCCCCATCCAACTTGGCATTAAACATCTCTGGGGCCAGGGCATCCACAATTTCTCTGGGAAGGGACAATTAAAGGCCATCAGGTCCCACTCCCTGCAGTGCACAGGGGCACCCAGCAGTGCTCAGAGCCCATCCAGCCTGACCTCGGCTGTCTTCAAGGATGGGGCACCACCACGTTTCTGGGCAGCCTGTGCCAGGGCCTCACCACCCTTATTATAAAGGACTTCCTCCTTATATCCGGTTTCATCTCCCCTCTTTTAGTTTGAAACCATTTCCCTTTGTCCTATTGCAATGTTTCTGAGAAGCTATACCCTAAATCACAGGAGATGTCCAACCCTGGGGAGACTTGAGCCACGGTGCTCTGAAGCCAACCAGCCTCCAGCTTACCATATCAGTAAGATCATTCACAATGGATAACAGAGATCGTGGAGACAGCCCACAGCCTAGCGTGGATTTCAGCATGCTGAGCTACACAAAGAGCAAAGAAACAGCATCCACCTCAACACTGTGCCCCTACAGAAAGCATTCAGCAGCAGCAGAACAGCAGGAACGAAGCATCTCCTTATTGCTTCGTTCATTTCATTTTCAATTTGTCATTTCTTTTTTTTTTTTTTTTTTTTTTTTTTGTTAATATGTTTTAAGCATCTCTAAATTTGCAACACTGTAAAGGCAAGGAAAGGAAGCACGCGTGGCTGAAGAAAAGAGCGCAACCCTTCTGATTGTAAACAGGATTTTGCTTTTTCGCCTCTTCCCCCCAAGGGTGGGAAAGCTTGACCTCTGCATTCCCCTTTTACAATGTATTAATCAGGCACCAACATAAGGAATCTATGAAAAAATATTTGGTGCAAATTAGGTAACAGCAACATGTCCACCACAAGATGAGTAGGGCATCAAACACAACATTTCTTAAGCTAACATGCTCCAGCTGCCATCCATAGAAATAGCTAAAGGACCCCTATAACATGTTTCTACGTATTCGAGAGGTATATATACAATCCTCATGAAATGCAGGATTGACAGGCCAGACTACCACAACTAGTTCCTTCATGTTCAACACTAAATCTTCTGTAGCATGGGGTCTCTGAGCTCCGGGAATGCCAGCTCCCTTTCACCAGGCCCGCATCCTGCGCATGTGCAATATCTCCTACCACTAGATATTGTACTGACACCTCCTCCTCTCCCTCTCTAACATGCCTGCAGACTTTTCCTCTCAATCAAATGGCTCAGAAGGCAAAAAATTTTGCTGCAAGGGTTTATGGCCATACGACCTGATAAGGAAAATGGTGTGTCCAGCCAATTCTTTCAGCTGTCCGAGCCGAGCTGTGTTTCAATGTCCACCCTGCAGATTGGGCACTTCTTGCTGGTGGCCAGCCACTGGTCCACGCATACTTGGTGGAAGAGATGCATGCAGGGTAACCTCCTGTGGGAAGAGAAGCACCATCAACTTTTTAAAATCGCAGAAAACCCTTTGGTTTTATAGTCTACGAGCTCATTGGTTTCCTTCTGCATCCCCAGTTAGGAAAAATGTTTTCTCACAAAGAGTGGTGATGCAGTGGCATAGGCTTCCCAGGAAGGTAGGGTGTCCCCGTCCCTGGAGGCATCCAAGAACCGTGGAGACTTGGCACCTGGGGACATAGCTTAGTGCACATGGTCAGGGCGCTGGGTTTTCACTGGATGACTAGTGGTCTTTTGCGACCTGAATGACTCTATGATTTTGTAATTTTATTCTATGATCCATTAGGCACAGTGTGGATGGAAGAAGCCCAAGAAATCCAGAAAACAGCATCCAGGACTGGGGAATGCAGCAGTGTAATGACACTTGTGCTTCCCAGGCCCTACAGCCTCCACCAGCAACATCAGCAGTAGGTCAGAGATTGTCCTTGAATATAAATCTTCTAGAAAACCCCGTGCCCTCCTGACCTGAGTTGCAGTGACCAACTGCAATCACCAATTATCCTGGCTGGTACTTTTGACATCTCAGGAGTATTAAGTTATGCACTTGGGTTCTTGATGGTTGTGACTTCAGTGGGTTCCACTACTCCCACTTGAGTGATTGGAGTGCTTCAGGAAATGAGCTTGCTTTTCACCTGTGTCACCTTTGTCATCTCTTTGGTGGTTCTCATGAGCAAGAGGGATCCCAAATCACAAGGATCCACAACAAGAGAATCAGAGATTTTCATGATGGCTGGCTAATGTGTGAGGAGAAGCACCAAGCAGTGCCAACTTTCAGCTCTTTCACCTATGGTAGCTCAGCCTCCTGCAATTTCTTGGCCCCACCCTCTGTCACAAGCAGAGCTTCAGCACAGCCAAGAGTCTGGAGATCTCTCTGAGGGCTACCAGAGGTTTTGCTGTTGCTCAGAATGGCCCCCTGAAAACATACAGCCTGAGTAACCTCACTTATTCTGCAAGAAGATAGCTCTCTCGTGGCCACAAGCCAAATTCCCCTGTACTTGACATCCATGTTATCTTTTATCATGCACTGGTCATCTGCAAAGGCCACACATTGATGACCACAAATTCCAGATAGCTTCCTGAGCCTTGCCACCCACACTTCTCTGACATTCTGACCGACAGTATGGCTTTGGAGCAGGTGATCCATACCCATGAGGTCCTACTGCTCAGAGTTCTACCTAACTATGGCCCTTACCAATGTCCAACTAAGAAGAGTTTTCTTTCCTAAACCCTGAAACAACCCAAGTGAGTTTGTCAGGACAAGAACAGGGACAGTCTCATGAAAGCACAGTGGTGTTATTGAACAAACATAACTCGGATGTCACTGAGAGACAGCCAGGTAGTGGGAAAGGGTCATACCTGACATCTTCTCCATCTTCAAGCATGGACAGACAGATTGTGCATTTCTCATCAGTGTCTGACTCCTCTCCATCCTCTTGCTCAGCTTTACCCTCCTGTGGTCTTCTCTGCAGCAAGAAGAAAGACATAATTTGGTTATGACTTGATTTTCTAACACTCTGCTAAGCCTGTGTAGTTGCAACAAGGCAAAAAATAAGAGCTTAGGAGAGCCAGACAAAGCAAAATAGTCACTACCTCGTCTGTTCTCCTTGGGGTAAGGATGGCCCATAGTATCCCTTGATGGGGACTTCTCCTGAAGATTCCAAAAATGTACAGAATCACCTCTGCCAGTAAGGGCAACCACTGTGACCTATTGGCACAGCCATGGAACAGAGCTTGCACTTTCAGTTCCTTTCTCACTATTTTCTCCAACATATCCATTCCAACTAATAGAATTTTTCTGGATCCACTGGAGATGTGGCCACAGATAAGTGCAACAAAGAGCTGACTCATTTCCAATGTGGACAGTGCAATATAGCTCCTTGTTCCCGCTCAGCTGGGAATGACAAAAATGAAATTTCTACCCAAGTGAGCAATATTATCATTTTATATTTAGTACAGCTAAAAAATTTGGCACGCACATCCTTACAGACAGATCAGCTCCTGCAGAGTTGTCCCTTGCAAAGGGGAGAAAAACGTCCTGCCAGTGCCACCTTCTTGTAGAAAAGGGTGTGTTTGCATGCGTGAAGCCCTCTTGCTGTAGACACTTCCTTTCCCACTGGGTGGGAGAAGGTTGAGAACCTTTTGAAAATTTGACTTGTAATTTCCTAGCCTAGAAGCAAGAATGAGCCAGCTGAGCTACTGCACTGCATCAACCTGGGAATCCCACAGGTTAATAAAGAACCAAAAAGTACCCCTCCCTTTTGGGGTATGTTTTAGCTGGTGGTGTTGGTTTGTCAGTGCTGAGGATTGCAACCCACCAAAGTCCTTCCTTCTGAGCACTCCACACACACAGCACTTGGCCAACCAAGAGGGTCTGGTGGTCATTTCAGGGCTCTCACCTTCTTGTATTTGTGGGGGAAGGTGAATCTCTCAATGGTGTTCTGGACAGCCCCCCGGCTCACACTGCCCAGCCTGTCCTCCAGCTGCAGCAGCTCCTGAAGCACAGAAAAACAGATGGCAAAAAAGCATCAGTGGAAGAATGCAAAGTTCCACCACCCCACTGCCAAGAAGCAAGGCTCCATCCTGCCCTGTCCTTGGTGGAAATGTCCACTGAACCCAGATCAGTTGTAATTTGTTGATAGATCTGAGTTTTGGCTCTTGGGCCATCCATCAAGGGATCAAGGCACAGAGCTGAATGCTGGATATCCAGTAATTAAGAAATCAGGGTGAAGTTCATTTATCAGTTTGGAAAAATCAATCATCAATCAATCAGTCAATAAAACAAAGAACTGGAGCACTTTGTTGCCAGACTTGGGATCCAGACCCAAGCACGTGAGGTAGACCATCTTTCACCAAATCCACTCAACAGCTTTGTCTTCTTGGTTATTATTAATTGCTGCAGGTTCAGTCCTGTTCTCATCTGTGACTCCCATGCCAGAAGGCAGGGCCTGATGAGTTTATGCCAGTGCTTGCATGGATTCCCAGGGTTTGAAAATGTAATTATTCCTGTCCCCAAGATACATACTTCATAGCTCTCCCGCACAGCCGATGTGTGCCTGCTTGGGTTCAGTCCCTGAAGAGCAAGTAACTGAAGCTGAGGATAAGGGTAATTTCTGATTTCATGAACAACCTGCAAGAAGCAAGGGAGAAAAATAAAGCCACCTGTGCTAGCGCAAAGAAATCCCTCATGCACCCTGATTTTAATTTAGTGCTTAAAAAATTGAAAATGAAAGAGCAGGCCAGCACCTTCCCCAGTGGGAATCTTTTAATAAGCTAAATTGAACAGAATAATAACAACAACAAAAAATTAAATAGATGTCCTATAAATGATAACAACCACTAGGCATGTCTTCTGAATTAACTCTTTGCTACAATAATTCCCGCTGCATCTGTAACACTGAAGTTCCAATCTCTCAACATGGATTGGCTTGAAAAGAGATTTAATTTAATTTTTATTTTTTTAAGTTGGTGCAATTTTCTTCATCCAGGCTCCAATACTGAAAGCCTTGTAGTATGTACAGATGTCAGGTTCTGACCATGGCAGGTTGGGAAAGAACATCTGTGAGCTTTATAAGGCTGCTTCAAGGATGAGCAGGGTGGCTCAGCTCCAAATGCAACTCCCTGCTAGGAGAAGGACATGGAAATGACCTTTCACATCTAATCCCACTTCCACTGGTACAACAAGTCATGAAAAACTCAACATGTGACATCAAGGCTGATGTTGATGGCAAACGTGGTGAAGGTCAGTGTGCATGGGGAGGTGCCACCTACAACCAATTCTTCTGCCTGCAAGGAGCCCTGGGAACCCATGCTTTACTCCAGTATGCCATAATAATATTATTGCCAATAACTGCTAATCTCACATCCTGCCAAGGCTTATGCAGATCAGACTATGAGTGCTCTGCAGGCAACGGACGACTCTTTCCAGAGCAGCTGAGCTTTTCTTTCCTGTCTCTAATCCAGAGTGCAATGATGCAACATTATCCTTTCAGACACTCCCTCCCACGGCCGGAGATAAGTGGGATTCGCAGGAGACAGGTGATAGAAAGATAGCAGCCTTTATTTTGACTGCCTTCTGGCAGACAATGCATAAAACATTTCCCAGCGAAAGTGCTTCACTTACCATCTGTGTTGAGGATGTGCTTCTGGGGAAGTGATGCATCCGAGGTGTAGCTAAGTAATGCTGATAGGGCTGAGGGACCGGGCGGACCTGGAACTGGGCATGTGTCAGTCCTGCATCGACACTGAGGTCCCTGTGGGTGCAAGGATGAAGATACAGTTCTGACTGTCTTCTTTCGTGATACAGAGCCCGACAAAAGGGCTCACCTCTCTTCTTCCCCCCTCCCCCCCAAAAAATGGAGCAAGGGGTTGATTTTATGCTACTTAGCATTGGTGGTAGCTGGGGACAGGAGCTATAGGATGCAGCGTGACAATTTTGGTGGCTTCATCAATCCCCAGGATGAGTAGCTCAACCTGGCCAACCAGGTCCTTTCTGTGTCACTGGAGGATGACAAAGAGAGGGGGTCTGCAGATGATTACACTTTGCCCAGAATATGTTGTAGCAATAGAAGAATGGTGGGCACTGTTAGGATATAGCTAATAGGATAGGATAGCTGCATCGTACATGCTGATGATCTCCCTGAAAGTGTCCCAACACAGGTCATGGTATAGTTTTGTGAGGAACAAGGGGGACTGCATCAAACTTGGCCTCTGGGTTCCCTAGACCTTTTCTTTCTGGGGAAAAAAAAGAAAAAAAAAGAAAAAAAAGAAAAACTAAAAACCAAAAACCAAAAAACAAAAAGAAAGAAAGAAATTTTAAAAACTTAGGTTTTGGGAAATACCTGGATGATGCATCTCTAGAAAGCAGCATCCCACCACCACTAATGCACTAGGACATCCCTGGAAGTCCCACTCAACCACACACAACATGGATGTGTTTTATCTTTGCGAGTTCAGACACTTGATCCTTCCAGAAATTATTCCAGCTCCATCCTGGGATTTCAAATAACCAAGATCCCTGCAAATACTGCAGCACTGCTCAATCCAGAAAGCAGAGCTGAACCTCAAACTCCATTCCAGCACTGCATGGATGGGATGAGAAGATACTTAACACAGCACCTCCATCTATCATCCAATTAGATGGTCCCTTGTCTCTCCAGTCAAAGAATCTCTCAGCAAACAAGTACTTTGTATGTCATTTACTTTATCATAACTACAAAAGCTGGCACTCTGATAACCACTGTCTTCATGTTTGCCAAGGCAAAGCTAATTAGGCACGAGGGCTTCTCATTTCAGCCCGAACTTCTCCTCTCCATGGAGGAGAGTAGCAAAGATCCATGGCTTACTATGATCAGCTCAGTTGTGTCTTGGAGCAGCTGTGAAACTGCTGATGCCCAGCAACAGTTAATGGTCATGAGGGGACAATAAGTGCAGAAATCCATTAGCCAACACGGACTGTATACCAAATAACAACTTTAGGGTATTGATACCCTGTAATAAGTCACCAAGATGGAGTAAAAAGAGGGTTTGTCTTTGCTGGCTATGTGCTGGCAAAACTTAGCAGAGGATAAATCACAGCAGGAGACTGGCAGGAACAAAACTGGGGTGTGAATCCACAAGAATGGGTATTTTCCAGCCATTTTTGGAGATTTATCCCATTACTTAAGACTGTTGGAGATTGGAATGTTCTATTGGAAATGAGGAGACAGTGAGTTCATCCCTGGTGCTGGCATGAGGCATGACCTTGGCTCTCTCCTCTCTGCCTGCCCATATTCCCTGCCTACAGAGTAGATGTGATAACCCACAGGGTGAGATCAGGGACTGAAGGGGTCTCTGAGAGATGAATGGTGTTATTAACTTGCATGAGCAATTTCAATGACAACACTTCTGTTGTGCAGTGGATCTCTAAAACCACATGTAAATGTTTCTATGTGATGCTGTGGGCCAAAGCATAATGCTGGCGTTTGAAAATGAAAAAGCAGAGCACGTTTGAGGAAGAAAACCGAAACCAACCATCACCTTCCAGCCTGTGCTACATGTACAGCATCTGGATGCACGAGGTTAAATGCCTGTAGGTTACGGGCTGCCAACAACCAAAAACCAAAGGCAACAGGTTGAATGGTCGTCGCTAGATGCGTATCAGAAAACAACCGAAGGAATGAAATGCGGGTTTATTTCTTCTTCTCCAGAAGGTTTTAACCTAGGGTTGGCTGTCTGAGATGACAAATCACCAACAGCTCCAACTTCCATCCCTGTTTCCCGTGGCAGTGCCTACCACCTCCTGCCTCCAAGAAAGAGCCGTCTCTGCTCATGCGGTGGTAACACATTAGATGAAAGTTTTTGTATCTGTCACTGGGCAAAATTGTACATGTGCCCCGAGGGGAAGTGAGTCACCCAAATATATACACACAGTGTACGATTTCTGTCATCCTCACTCCTTAGGTTTATAAAGCTATGGAACAACACAGGAGGGGAGGAGGGAAGAGGAAGGGATGATTAAATGACGGTTTACCAGATCCTCCTAATGATTATAATTAAGCAGTATGCACAGAAAGAGAGGCAGAAAAAAAATGGCTGTACTCAGATGATATGTGAACTGCTTTGCAACTTTATCTGAACAATGTCCCATCGGACAAATTTGTTGCATCATGTGCCAGCAATAGGAACACCTGAGAAGAGAATGACAAAGGGATCTGGCCATGCTTTAGGTCATATATTATTACCCTGGAAGGGGAAAAATCCCTGTGTGAAAAGAACATTTGCAGAGCAAAGTGCTCAAATGTTAGAAAATGCCATAATTAAGATTTCCTGTACCATTTTATCTTCTTGTGTTTATACATTACGATTGTCTCTAATTACATGTGCACATGCTATTTTCTGCATTCAGTGCAGAGAATGGACTTTGCTCAGCTAGCAAGCAGCTATTCAGAAGCATGTTTCTATTTTCCACTTCTTCCAAGTAGGGCCCTGTGTCTTACTGAGCATGCTAATGCTCAGAACTTGCTCTGAAAACAGAGCTATCAATCGTTTCCTAGGCTTTACCAGAGTACCAGACATTAAGATGGGAGAATCATTAGCAGCTATTTATCCATGCACCCCATCCTACGGGGTGGAGAAGCACCATGCTCTCTAATTTCAACCATGGAAAAATTGTGGCTGAATCACAAGACCACATTTTGAGCTCCTGGTGGACAACAGACCTCATTCAGATAGAGGTGCTGGTCTGTGGGAAGCAGCCCCTGAGTTTTTCTTTCCTGCAGGCTGTGCCTTGCACCAGGAGCTGGTCCTGGGGAAGTTAATGTGTAGGTGCGTTACACAAACATGGGTGGAGAGATGTGATGAATGTCAGCGTTACCAACCACAGACTGAGCCTTTAGTGTGTCTTCATGGCCCTTCCAGGGATGGCTTTCCCCATCACACACTCTCCACATTGCATTTGTTGAACTGAACCATCAGCTCTGATGGAAGCACTGAGCCATGAAGGCATTAGCTAACCCATCCAGTCCCCTTAGGGCTTTCCGAGCACCTCATTCAACATACTGAGGAAATGAGGATGACTTACCAGTCTGTACCTTCGGCCAAGTACCTGGGCTGGGGTGCCAGGGGCTGTGGGGTTTGCAGTTGGTGGCTGAAGTCAAAGCTGGGGTGCAGACGGTGAGGCTGAACAGACATGCGCTCCTGAGCCCGCCTGGGGAGGAGACCAGAAGTGAGTTAGTGATAGTGGGCACTGCTGAGCTAAGGCAACATTGATAAATGGTGGGAAAATCCAAAACTTTGGGCTTGTGAGCATGCACCTGAGAGAGAGGAATCTAGGTAGAAGTCAGGAATGATGGGAAGAGGAGTGCAGAAGCACAGCATTTGTCATCATGGACATGATGCAGACCTTCACTCTTGCCCCTTGCAGCATCCATATGTTTACAGGAGCTGCAACGTGAAAGGAAAAAGAGGAAACTAAACCTCTTCCTTAGCCATTCTGTGATAGTGGCACTATTTTCTTTTCCCTGCTGTCAGCTCCATAAACAACAGTTACAAGATAAAACGTCTTCCTGGTCCAAACATTATCCATCATCATAAAGAAGCTGCAGGTTGTCTCATCTCCCTGCACAGTCCATAAAGTCTTGGGGAACCTCATTCATAACAGAATCAGTCAGGAGAAACTGCAGACAGAATTTTCTCCCACCAATATTTCCATGGATGATGGATATGCCAGGCTGGTACCAGCTCCTCCTGCTCCAGCTCTGCTGAGTTTGGAGTGGAAATACATTGAGATCTTTCTAGGGACTTCAGTCTTTTCCCACCTTTGAAGGCACCATCTAGAATCCCATTCGTAGGACCTCACATCCTGTGTCTGAAAGGTTTCTGAGTCCCTCCTGCTATGCTGGATGCTTTCAGAACCAGGCTGCGAGGCTGGGTGAGAGGCCGCTGCCCTCCTTCTGCCTGTATCACACTTCCTTCTCTCTGACAGCCCACTGGCTGAGATAACACTGCCAGTAGGCATCAAAGCAACTTCTACGTGGAGCTGTGCTCTGTGGTTTTATTTGAACTGAGCTTATGACTAAGAGATAAATGCTTGTATCATCAGTGCCTCAGCTTTGCACATATTTGCTACCCAATTATTAACTAATCATTAAATCCACCTAAAATCCAGCTTATGCAAAATAAAAGCAGGGTGAGAAGAATCCACAATTTGCAGACAGAAAAGGAAAGAAAAACCTTCCTGTCTGTAGCATTCTTTCCAAATGAGGCGTCATTGCAAAGACTCATCCCCTCATTCTTGGTCTATGGGTACAGTCCATAAATAGCTTCCATATATTTCCAAAAAAAGCACTCCTCTCCTACGTGTTATCTGAGCCTCTCTCTCAAGAAACACTAACAGGATAAGGCCAGGCATCTCTTACCACCTCTCCTGAGCTACAGTAATCCTCCCTGCAGTCATCAGACCAATATGAATCTATGCTGCTTTTCTTGATTGAAAGTGCTCCAAACCAATGTCTTCATTCCCTCCCTGCTTTGCCTCTCTTCACAGAGCCTGGATCCAGAGGAGTGAGCTCTTCAAGTGAAAACCCAATGGGATGAGTGAATGCCATGTCTCACGTGGTTTTGAAGCAGCAGCTACGAGAAGATGGCTCACTCATGCAGTCTGTTGCTCTCTCTGAGATGCAGGATCACAGCAACATCAAGGTGCTTCCACTGTAACTGATGATGATGTGATGACTGGTCACGTCGCATTGATGACCAGCGTGATTGACTGAGAGATGACACCAGGTGACGTTTAGATATGCTAGGTGAGCACAGCACGGATCCCTGTGGGAGAGGTTCACCCACTGGTGCAACCTGGCATGTAGCTTCCAGGTGGATGTGTTTTGAGAGAACATGGGTGATCTTATGAAAAGAACCCGACGTTATTAGGAAGTTCTGCCAGAGCTTTGCTGAAGTGACACTGACAGCTTCCCAGCATCACAGAGAAGTTGTGGATGCCCCATCCCTTGGGTGCTCAAGGCCAGGTTGGATGGAACCCTTGGCAGTTGGTGGTGCCCCTGCCCATGGCAGCAGCTTGCATCCAGATGACTTCTAAGGCCCTTTGCAATGCAAAGCATTCTGTGAACCTATAACTTTATACACTGTAGACCACATTTGGGAAACATAAGACCCCTTACCTGGGATGGGGCATGAGCCGGCGGTGCTGGGCCTCAAGGAGCTGCTGCTGGAGGAGGTATTGCTGGTGTAGCGCCTGAGGTAGGAAGGATGGTCCGGCCACATCTTGGAAGGGCAGGGCTGGCACTGGGGCCAGGGATTGGTGCAGGGGACCGCTATGCTGGTGTGCGGGGGTCATGTGTGGGGTCAGCCCCGGTTGGGGCTGCACCGTGTGAGGCAGGGTGAAGTCGGCGGAGAGCTGAGGCTGGGGACCCAGGTGGAAATGTCGGCAGGAGGTAGCATGGGGATGCTGAGACCTTTGAAATGGAGCACCTGGAAGAGAAGAGCACGGCCGTCACCGGGGCCGGAGAGGTTCAGGGTACCTGGATGCCCATCCAGGGTTGGAATTGGGCACACAGATGTTTGTCTCCTCCTCCGAAAGGCAGAGGGGACAAAGAACAGGTCAGCTAGCGCTGATTACACAGAAAACAAATGTTGATTTTGACTTTTTTCCTCCAAAACTCATCGGAATCAAAACATGGGATTGGGTTCAAAGCTGATTTTGGCTTCAAAGTGAAGTGTGTACTGCTGGAAACTGATTCAGCTTGTTTTGGTTTGTCTGTCTCAAAGAGAAGAGGAACAAAAGTCTCAGTGTTTCAGAGAAGGAAAAAAGCAGTGTTGTCTAAAACTTGTTTCTGTTACCAGCTCAGAGAAGTTTCCAAAGATTGCTGACTTTCCATGCAACTCAAGGTAATTCTTTGCCTGTCTAAAAAGGCATAGAAATAATTCTGTTTCCTCCTGACTGCAAGACATGAAAGGGACGTGCTATCATCATGCTTCTTTGCTGAGGCCCTTTCCAGCTGATGGAGAGTGGCAGTAGAAAGCACAACATAAGCTGCTGTGAGATCAGCCATGAGGCATGGTGGGGATGAAGGGGAAATGAGATGTGAAAGATATCCACACTGGAGGCTTTTTGCAAACATGTGGCTCTGGCTTTCACCTCCCAAAAGATCTTTGCTTGGATGAGCCTATGGCCCAAACCAGCACGTTCATTCCTACATTCCCAGAGCACTGCCAGGCATTGTGGCAAAAATTTGGCTCTTAAACTAAGGAGAGAAGCAGTGCAGCACTGGAGAATGGGACTTGAGAGAGCCTGTCCTTGATAGATGCCTCCTTGCTGAGGAGCAGCCCCAGGACGGGATACCTGCCTTTTTATACATTTATTTGGACCTCATCTTCCTAAAAACCACATAATTGTTGCAATCTTTGGAAATGGCTCAAAATTTCAAGGAATAACAGCACTGTCAGGCACTGACTGCCATCCCAGACATGCACATGGTGCCTTCCCAGCTTTTTCTGCTTCCATCTCCCTTCCATCCAGCACAGGATCTCAGGGAGCCCCCAGGTGCTTTCTATTCACATCCTTATGGGAGCAGAAGGTGTACAAAGAGAGTCAGATGCCAGTAAAAGGAAACAATGAGAGGATCTAGCAGAAAGAAATGTTTTGAAAAACAATGCATAAGTAATCGTACACAACATCTCTCAAATACAAACTAATCCTTCACAGTGCCCCTCTGAGAGAGGCAACAGGTAGCAAATGTGTCTGTCACCAGCAGCAGAGCTTCTTAAATTGATAATATCTCATGTTGTCAGATAACTGCATTATTCAACTATCTCATTAATTAAAAGTGCAGGAGGTGCAATCACACCCTGTATTCCTCAGGGACAGAGCTACAAAACAAAGCTCATGAGATGCCTGGTTGCCCCCAGCACAGCAGGTTTTATTTGCTGCCCTAGGGCAGGATCCAGTTCCCAGGTAAAGAATGAATACTGACATTTGGGCCTGCACTTTGTTGGCATATTGCTCAAGCTGAGCAACCAAGGAGAGGTGCCTTCCGTGTTTGTTAACAGAGCAGCTCATGCTGAATGGCTCAACATCTAATGGCCGTGGGTCCTCCCAATGGAAAATAGCTACAGCAAGTTGTGGGTGATCAGTTTAACACCACTAAGTCTTCTCAGGGCCTGAAGGAAAGGTGCAAGAGCAGGTTAAGGTGTGAATCCCACTGCTCACCCAAAAAGGACATGCTGTGTCTTGTCATACAGTGTCAGGCAAAACTGGCTTCAGACAATACAAGGCAATGGAGCTGAGTGACATTTCCCCCAGTTTACTTAGCCAAATTCTGCAGCACATAAAAGACAAACAAACTAGACTCTCATCCTCTGCATTTCTCTCTTCTCTTGATGCTTGGTGGCAGCTTACCAAGGATTTTTGGCTTTTTTGGTATGTTCTGGGAGACCTCAATCTGCTTTACCAAAACATCTGTAGACTCTTTAATGCTGGAGCCATCATGACCCAGAGGACATAGGATAGGCAGATCATGCTGTCAGAGCTTTGACCTGACTTTTTTTCTACCACGGCAGGACAGCTCTATCAAAGGACTTGGTCCCTGGACCCTGTGGTCCAGAAAGCTCAAACCTTGCTTCTGGTATTTGTGTAGGAAGGATTGCATGGCCCATGAATAGCCAATATAACATAAAGTAAAAGTCTCCCCGTGTTTTTTGGGGGAATTGGGTTTTTTTTTGGGGGGGGGGAACTATGATATGGACAGTTAAGCACTTGTTTTAGGCACCAGTCCATACGCTTAACTATTTTTTAGTATTTTATCCACTGGTTCAATGATGTATTTAACTTCATAGAGAAAACACTATCAAGATTTGACTCAGACCACAGGATTAAATAACTCCCACCAATTTACATAATCCACTATCTTGTGTTGTAGCTGCTCATTTTCTAAAGCTAATCCAACTGCTGATGAGGATTTTGATAGCAAAGCTACCAAACACAGAATATTTCAGCAAATCTGTGCTTATTAGCTGTCATCTAATCATACAGCTGGCATAATCGAGGCAGCTTGCACAACAGAGTCAATCCTTGCCAAACAGAGAACTGATGGACCCCAGAAAGATTTGGCAGACAAATTAGCCATGAAAAACAGAATATTTCATACCTGTACTGTCTATTATCAAGTTTACTCTGTTCTGCTCATATCTAGCTGCAAAATGTCTTGTTGGAGAGTTCTTTCTACACGTTGATCTTCTATGGTTTAATGTGTACTATTGGTGATAGGTGGATGGTTGGACTGGATGATCTTGAAGGTCTTTTCCAACCATGGTGATTCTGTGATCCTGTGATTCTGTGATTCTGTGCACAAGGGCAATGCAGTGTCATCCTTCTGACACCGGAGCACTATTCCAGATAACAAATATTCAGTGACTCTTCATGATTACTCCCCAATCATATTTTCATCCCAACTTAAAATTATTGTCTATAAAATGCTTCAAGAAAATATGATTTTGAATTTAATATTTTTTTATCCCGTCTGGACATAACGTCTGTGACAACAGAGGCCAATCAATGACTCAAAGTCAGTCCAGATACCTGACTCCATGTTTTGTTTCTACTCTCCGTGACAGTGGCAGAAATGACATTTTCATTTCTCAGCTAAACCTCAAGGAACTTCTCTACATCAAAGATTGTGAAGTCAGAATCTGTGTCTATCAAGTTCCAGAGCCTCTAACTGCATCTCCATGAGCCTCATTCCCCACTGCTTGCCCTGGCGGTGATTGCAGGAGGACAACGTTGTTCTTCAAAGTAGAGACCATTTCCTCAACACAATGGACTCCAGAGTTTTGGTCCTCACCCTACATCAGGATTATCCTTCTCCATCTGTAGGATCTGTATGCTCTGTATGCTCTGACCTTGTAGGAAGAGGAGCTGCCTAGCTCTGGGATTGCTTTTGATGACCGATCCTCAAGTATGGTTCATCATCATATGAATCATATAGAATTGCAGAATCATAGAATGGCTAGGGTTCACAGGGACCTTAAAGATCCTTTAGTTCCAACCTCTCAGGCTCTGGGCAGTGTTGCATCACAGAATCTTTTTTTTTTAAAAAAAGGGTCAGAAAAGCACTTGTTTTCTTTTCCTCTTCTATCAGTTCCTCACTCACCTCTGTCGACCGTGCACATCATTTAACAGCTATTTGGGAACTGCTCAGAATCACAGAATCACAGAATCACCCGGGTTGGAAGGGACCTCAAGGATCATGTAGTTCCAACCCCCCTGCCTAGCAGGGCCACCAAACACACACATTCAGATCAGGTTGCCCAGGACCCCGTCCAACCTGGCCTTAAACACGTCCAAGGATGGGGCATCCACAACCTCCCTGGGCAGCCCGTTCCAGGGCCTAACCACTCTCCTTGTAAAGAACTTCCCCCTAACATCCAACCTAAATCTTCCCTCCTTCAACTTGGATCCATTTCCCCTAGTCCTGCTGTTGTCAGCCCTTTTGAAGAGTTTACTCCCCTCCTGGGTGTAGGTTCCCTTCAGGTATTGATAGGCTGCAATGAGGTCACCCCGCAGACTTCTCTTCTCCAGGCTGAACAAGCCCAACTCCCTCAGCCTGTCCTCATAGGGGAGGTGCTCCAGCCCCCTGATCATCTTAGTTGCCCTCCTCTGGACCCTTTCCAAAATCTCTATGTCTTTCAATGAGGATGGTGTTACAGACTACAGTCTCAAGTTTAGGAGTGATAAATCTGTTTTTGGAAGTTCATCATCTCCTCACAGCTTCTTTCATTTTTCCAAGTCTATTTATTTTTTTTTCCTCAGTTCTACAGTTACATTTATTGTTTCTATAAACTATTTGAAGCTGCCTGGGCCTTTTTTCATTGAAGGATATGCTCTGAATTATTTAGGATTCCCGGGTGAACCATTGCAAATGAGGCAGGCACATATGTATTTTTACAGGTTGGTAGGTGACACTGAATCTCAGAAATGCACTGGTCTGCTACTGGCTACTACTGTCACCGGGGATCCCTCTTTGGCATCAGGCAGGATTTGACTGTGCATAAACACACGTGGATTTACTCAGTATTTCACCCTGAAGGATGCTGGGACGAGTGTGCTCATTAAACACTGATCCATCCTGGAGATGTGAAAGGTGGAGCAGGGGGTACCACAGGCTTTCTAAAATCAAAACCCCAGCAAGAACAATCTCCTCTCCCTCTCCTCATGGCAGGAACACTTTTGGAGCAGTCGGGCAGCTCCCTGGAGAGGCAGGATCAGGCCTACAGCTCACTGGAGATGGGCATCTCAAGCAGACAGATGCAGCCCAGGGACCGCAGCCACATTTGTAAGGAAAACAAAATCTGTCCGATGCTGTTAAGCTGCCTGTGATGCTTGTGAATTTTTCCCCCTGGGTAAAGCAACCTGGCCCTGCTTGCTGAGGCATTAGCAGCCGGTGTGCGAGTGTGTATGGGGCCAGGGATGCTGG